CTCACGGAACCCCACACAAATGACAAAGGAGGAGACCACGAGGCCCTGCAGAACTCCCTGGGTGCCACTCCATACTTGAGAACCCCTGCCGGACCCTCAGCAGCTCTTCACCTTGCCCTCTGGTCAAAGCTGGACCAGGCTCCCTGTAGGTGTGAGGCTGAGGGTCCATCTGCTAGAGGCTGACTCGTGAGAGCTTTCAGGTATGGCCTAGCGCTGTGGCCTGAGGTTCCTAAGCCTCCATCCCAAAGACACCTTGTTTGTTCTGCCCTCATGGCTGGGATCCTGAAACTCTAAGGTGTAGCTCTGGCCAACAGGGCTGGGGCCAGGTATGGGGGCCAGGTGGGTAATCAAACCTTGGAAGTTAAAATCGTGAAGCTACTCTCAGAGAAGCAGGAACTGCAGCTGCGAGTGAGGACTGGTGGCAGATTCCTCGCTGAGCCAAGACTTGTTCCCACAGGGACAGAGGCCACCTGAGCCCACAGTATCAGGAGCACAGCAGCCTTCCTTCCCTAGGATGAAAGGGTGGAAGGGCTCCCCACACATCCTGAGAACCACGTGCCTGCTTGGTGTCAGCTGGGAACAAGGTAGTGTTTTCCGCAGGGCGAGAGACAGGTGCTCCTGAAAGGTACAGTGCTGAGTGTATGAGCCAGGGCCCCAGCAGAGAGACTGCCCTGTGAATGAAGAAAGAAAAGCAGAATTTGGCTCTAACCTTCTAAGGTCAATTAAGACTCAGGACATATGAGAACTTGTACTGTAACGTCATGTACCTTGGTAGTGTCCTAAATTTTCTGATCAAAAAGATTATGGGGCCAAAGAGAAAGTGATCGATGATGTAGAGTGTGCCTAAGGAGAGTCACATGGGGAGAAGACACTCTCTCAGGCTTTCACAGAGAGCACATTGGCCAAACAATGGCTGTGACTCATCCATATGGCTGCACTGACAAAGGTTCTACAATCTGAGTTATAGGATCTCAGGAAAAATCTTGAGGGGATTTCACTGACCTTCTCAGACCAAAAAGCTACAACTCTTGTTACATAGGTCCTGCTTTACCTTGGTCTTAACCATCCAGTAGAAAAATATGGAGACAAAATATAGGAAGTAAAGCCATGCTGTTATGTTGATCTGTGGGGGACTCAGGTCAATAATTTCTGACACTGCCAGTTAAACAGAAGACCCAATGCTATTATGGTCTACTG